CCACCGGTGCTGGCCCTGGGGCATTGGTCCCAAGATGGTGATCAGGGGGTGGGGCACCTGTCAAGGAGCGGGGCTACCCATGCAGCCCTTGACAGCCTGCCAAAGCTGGGTAAGTGACCCTCCACTCAAATAATTGTCCGTCCCTGCTCTAGGTAGAACCTGCCCCAAGCACCAAGAGATACATCAGAGATAAACTTGGAAGAGCAGCAGCAGAGGTGGCGTGCTTACATGCCTAATGTAATGCAGGCAGCAGCTGCTTCTCAGTTTGGCTCCCGTATCCCTCCCGAAAAAAGGCATGCGGGATAGTTCCATCTGTCCCACAACCCTCTTTTCTGGGAGATGCTGTTTAGGGGCAGACCTGTTCAAGGGGTGTAGCACAAGCACATGCTCCTGCCACAGCCGTTTCTTGATCTAGGTGTGTGGTGTGAGGCGTGTGGTGCAGTTCCACCTGACTGCAGTGGCAGTTGCGTGAATGTAATATAATGTGGTATTGTATTGTATTATATAATATAATATAATACTATCTAATATAATTATGATGAACTAATCAACAACTAACATGTTCCTTTTAATAATATAATTATAATAATTATTTTATAATATGCATAATATATTGGCATTTAAATTATTTTTAGTGATGCTAAATTTTGAAGACTTTTTTTAAGCATGTCATGAATCAAAAAGGTTGAGAACCGCTGCTCTCTAGAGGGCAAACTTCTGTGTAATTTAGAAGTTTGGTCACAAGGTGTCACCCAACTACTGATTTTTATTAGCACGCGCAAAGTTGTGTTTGAGTAGTACAAACAGCCGAAAGCAAGACAATAATTGGCTACATAACCTATTTTTATTTAGGCATATCTGCATTTAGTGCCCCCTGAGGCTGTCATTTGGAATGAGTCAGAACTCCCACAAAGACCTGTGTTACTCAGTAGATAGTATCATGGAGCCGGAGGAGCTGTGGGTTCACAGCACCCAAGTCATTCGCTGCAGAAGTTCAGCTTTTGCTTAGATAAGTAACCTGGGATAGCATGTCCTCCCTTTTCCTCAGCATGTCCTGAAGGAGTTGTTTTCATTGCATGTATAGAAAATGGCATTCTCAGAGGCCTGTATCTTGCTGGGTTGAACAGGTATTTAGAGAAATTCTCGAGAGGCCTTTCATCCTCAGGTCAAATTTTAAATTTTAATTTCCTCAGCCTTTTGAAAGGCATGGGGATTTTATAACATATGGAGGAAGACTTTTTATTTGCTAAAACAATAGTCATTTTCCTTAAACTTTTGGGGAGAAGACTTTCAAACAGAGTAGCCGTCTTTCAAATGTTAAGTTCCTAATGTGAAAGTTTTAAGCCATTTACAAATGAAAGCAGGCCTTAAGTCAAAATGCTTGTCAGCCTTTGGTATCACAATTGCCTTTTGTTGTACTGCTGTTAAATTACTATTATAATACTGTGCTTCTTATTTACATAATTTAATCCAAAGATTTTGAAATGGCTCAATTAAATTTAATAATTTTTCTTCTCCTTTAACATGCTTGGAAGTGCTATTTATGCTATACAAAAATCAGAGATTTCTTAATCATACCTTTATTACTGCATCTTTTGGTAGGGCTTAGAGTGAGTGGTTGCTTTTAACTCAGATTTGCCTAGAAAAAAGGAAATGAGCCTAAGCCTAAAGATCTGGATGAATATTGACATACTTTGAGGCAGAAAGGATGGTAATAACTGGAAATTCCCTGCCCTTCACAAGTGAATATATTGGAAATGGATAACGGGACAAGCCAGAAAAGAACCTTTCTTTATTGAGAATCCTGCTATTGATACTTCCTCTCTTCCTGCTGCACTGGTCTTTTTTTTCCCTTTCATATATAAGAATTTATATTTGTCACCTCCACAACACTCCTAGCTTAGCTTTTAGTCCTTCTACAACAAAGCAAAAACAAATAGTGTATTTTTTAAATTAAATATTAAGAATATGCTGAAGCTGTTCAGACTGACGCTTGTGTTCCTCATGTCTAAGCAAACATCAGCTTAGATTAAAGGACAGCAAATGGGACTTCACCACCTTCATGTAGTAAGCAGCAATTCTAACCGGCTTTTATTTCTGAACAGCAGAAAAAGAGAAAACATGTATTCTTCGTCAGAATACAGATGCAATCATGAATAACTGATTTTTTTTTTTCTTTTTGCTCACCTTTTTAGGTGAAACGTGGAATCCGTTAAAATTACACTACCAGTTACGAAACGTGCGTGAACGATTAGCTAAAAACCTAGTGGAAAAAGGTGTATTGACGACAGAGAAACAGAACTTCCTTCTTTTTGACATGACTACTCATCCCCTCACCAACAACAATATAAAACAGCGCCTCATCAAGAAAGTTCAAGAAGCAGTTCTTGACAAATGGGTGAATGACCCTCACCGCATGGACAAACGCTTGCTGGCTCTCATTTACTTAGCCCATGCTTCAGATGTCCTTGAGAACGCTTTTGCCCCTCTTTTGGATGAGCAGTATGATTTAGCCACAAAAAGAGTGCGGCAACTTCTGGATTTAGACCCTGAAGGTGAAGGTGCGAAGACCAATACGAATGAGGTCCTGTGGGCTGTTGTAGCAGCTTTCACAAAATAACTGCGATCAGACTGAAGTGTTCTTCTCTCCTCTTTCATGTAAACCAGTTGTTTCTCTTCTCTTGACTTTCATGTTTTCTGTAATTTGTACCTTCTCATTTGATGAATTGGCTCTTGTTTCATGGGAATGATGGGTGGTGTATTCCCTCTTTCTTTGTGTATCTGTATACAGGATTCTGCTGGTACAAGAGGCCTTCCTTTTCTAAAAAGGGTTTACTGCCATATTGGCATTTCACTTCTGGTTAAATTCAAGTTACCTAAAATTCTTAATAGAACATCCCCCCCCCTCTCCTCCCCCCCAACTTTTTGGTTACTGGAATGGTTTAACATAGAAAGCGCCTCAAGGAGGAAATGGGTGTGCTCTGTTGGCTCAACCCAGTCTTGGGTTGCTATAGGTGTGTACATGCATCAGCATTTTGCAATACAGTTCATACAAAAGTAAAAGGAAAAAAAGGCCTTTGAGTTCACCAAAGTTAATATTAAAGTCTCTGTCAGGACATTTTTATACATAGACATTGGTTCAATGTGCATAACAAAATTATTTTAAAATGGGAATATTCATTAAGCAGTTCCATAAATAAGTCATGTAAAATGCCCCACAAATTGTATTCCTCATATACATCTCTTGTGTACTTACGTTTTTGTCATAACTATGCTGAGTCATGCTGTAGAAAGGTCCAACTGTTTCACAGAGCAGTTTTGGGATGGAATACATTCCATTATAATCTGTATATAGTTTGAATTGTATATTAACAACTTTCATCTTAGTATTTTGCAAGATTTAATTAGTTGTACACCTGGTGCCCCTTACTTGCTCTCAGCCATTGCCAGTTGGTGGAAAGATGGGCCTCTTATAAAGAGCATGTGTGTGAACTCTGTTCCCAATGTCTGTGAAGTTTACCATCCAGGTACTTTCAGTCTATGCGTCGCCTTTTATAATCTTTATTATATGGAAGGAGACCACTTTCTATCATTGTTTATATTTTTTTCTGTATGGAAGAGGCTTGTGACCAGTACAATTCTTGAGTGCGTTTTTTAATTTTGTTTGTACGCAAGTTAATGTTTGTCTCTTAAATGTCATATTCTACTTAACACTTAAAAAAAAAAAATAAAAATCAAATGTCAGTCCTAGCAGGTGTTGCATGTAAATTGTTAGCAAGTAATGACTACAGTTCAGATGATTAAAGTTTCTGTAATGGGAAGCTCTACTATATTTTAATTTTTATATACAATTATGCTGATTAGCACATTATTGTAAAAAAAATATAAACTTTGGCTTTTTAAAATTTATTGCCTCTTTACCACTGCTTGGTATTATCTCCCATTGTTTCACAGTGTAAATATTATGCATTGAACAAATTAAAACCTGATTTCTATATATATTCTTTTTTTCTCATAACAGTGCAAACTTATAGTGGGGGTTACAGGTGTTTAGACACTTTTTGGTTAACATTCAGAGCAAAAATACTAGATGGTGTATAACAATAGAGTTATAATTTAAGGGATCCCTAATCTGTATACTAGCTTTTTACCTACAGTAAATAAACTATGATCTTGAAAGTGCCTGAAATAGACCAAGCATTTCATTTTGTATTTTATGTTGCTAATTAGACTTCTTATTTCTTAGTTGATACGTCTTATTAGAAGAGGTAGCTTTTATGATGTGAATCAAATGTTGATCAAGTTATTGCTAGTGTCAGTGTCTCCTGCCTCGCAGATTTGACTGATTGGTTTAAGTCTATCTAAGGCCAGTTGAGCATACAGTTTTACCTTTCATTGTTAAGTCTTTCCCCTTGATAGCACAATTTTATTTTTCACTTTAACTGGGCCCTCCCTTTCTGCACTGACAGTTTAGGTTTAGATATATAGATTGCTGTCTTTAAAAAATCAGTTAAATAAATAGATCCTAAGTGACCCCATTGTATCTGCAACTTGTAGTGAATTAAAAAAAAAATAGCCCCAGACATTAAATGCCACTTTGTTCTTGCAGCTTTTAAATCTAAGTCATGCTGATATGTTTCAAACTTGGAATGAATTATTTTGGTCAGTGTGACTGAAATAAGACTTGTAATTAGTACATAGCTTTGTTTTGGCTGGGGTTTTTTTTTTCTTTTTTTTAATTATTTGAAAGACGCTGTTTAAATTTTGTTGGGGCATGAACCTAAACTATACTTCTGTCAAACTTGTTTCAGATTTGAGATGAAAATAAAGTTTACTTTTGCAGGGTTTTGCACTTGCCAGGATATACACTTTTTTTTTGTACTAGATAGCACCTATGGCCATGACCAGACAAGCGCAGATGTGTGGTATGTGGCACCACAGACATGTCTGCAGTGCCATACGCCACACATGCAGGCATTCTTCACACTGATGCTTTGCAGCACTGGGGGTGTATTTTGACCATGGGAGATCCCAGGGTCAAAAAAAACTGCACACCAAAAAAAAAAAAAAAAGAAGAAGAAAAAGCAGGATGGTGCATGTGGCTGCAGCGTGCACTACCCAAAACCAGAGCCTGGCTGGCCAGAGCTACACTTCTGCTTCTGATCAGGCTCCCAGGTGCAGGAGTGCTGTGCCTGCGGCTCCCCAAGGCCCCCAACACTGACCTAGAAATAAACATACACGTAGAAACTATTGTAGGTTTTAGCACAAATACTCCATAAACACACTTTTAAGCAGCACTTCTATGCCTGCTTGTATATAATACAAACTGTGCGTGACATTAGCCCAAAGCCACAAAAGGCTTATAATTTACCATTGACCTGGGACCCAGCAGACAGTGTTTCAAGCCATGGTGACCCCACAACTCAGCATTGCTCAGTATGTGGATGTACTCCAGATACACTCCACAAATGTGCTAATTAGCCCCCACTCATGACTGGAACCAAGTGTTCTCATTACAAGTCCTGGATGTTCCAAAACTTTATATGCAGATGAGGCTCTGCAGCCTGACCCAGCTCTATCTCATAGAGGATGGGCCCACACTAATCTTATGTGACAATTTGGGAGAGGGGGTAACAGAGGGATTCAGCATAAGCTGTTTGGGTCCCTGCTCATTGATATTTGCCCAACATTTAAGGCTGGTTCAAAAACAGGACTCTCTGGTAATGGGGAAGAAAGGTGCTGCTCAGCTGTGGGAATGAAGTAGAAATGTATTCAATGCAGTGGCTCACCATGACTTGAAAACATCAGTACTGAGGGGGACTGAGTGCAATGGGCACTCCCATATATCTTATTCAAGAGGACCCTAGATACTTATTCTTTAAAACAAACTTTTTGATTAGGTATGTGAAAAAATTAAGTATAGACAATATGCTTGACTAGATGTGGTCCTCTTATCAGCTTCAATTTCTTGATATTTAATATTGTGTCCCATGTGCAGAGTTTGACTCCTGTCCTACATAGAGGTGTACATCAAAATTACAGTATGCCAACACATGTCATTAGTCCAAGGTTTGTACCATGGCTGGGGATGGTTATTAAATACTTCCAGGTGCAAGTGGCACAAATTAAGCTCGTAATATAGAATGGTGACTTGAATATTTATCTCTCCCACAAAAAAATATAACAACTGATTTGTTCTCTGTGAAATGGACTGAATCTGTAACTAACAAAGAACCTCTTTTCACCTCAAATGATAAACTTGTGCTTCATCTGAATGGATTTTTCTACATGAAGTTTTTCATCAACTCACTGAATTTCTGGTATTTTCCCTAAGGTCCCAGTCTGTGCTGAGTTAGGAGCAAATTTAAGGATCTCTATTAAAACTCATTTTCAAATTAACTGTTTTTGAAAATAATTTGACCAGTTAAATCCCACTGTTAGGTCATTTTAGCCTAGGTTCATATCTGGTATGTTCAAGCCCAGTTTTTTTTTTTTTTTTTCCCAAAAGTACTACTCTATATTCAACCATTTAAGTGTGGCAGTTTGATTTAGGAAATTGGACCCTTCAAAACTCTCAGCAATTTAGAAGTAAAAGACTTTTTAGGCTTTCCCCTGTGTCTTTAGGAGGTGGCTTTTCTGAGTAATTGGATGGGAAAGACAGGCTGGGTTTGGAGGACTCTTCTGTACTACATGTATTGATCTCTGCTTAAGAACCAGAGGTATGATCCTCTGCTTTAGGTTGTTGTTCCCTGTTCTCTGTCTAAGAAGCTTGTGGGTGAATGGTTGTGTTTGAAGAAGAGATTGAGGAGAACAGAGGTCTTCCTGGTCCAGTGTCTGGAGAAGAAAGACCTGAGGGAATGGAGCAGGTGAGCAAGAAGAAAAGCCAGCTTTTGGATGGGTAGGCAGAGAAAAACACTCTTTTGAAAAAAGAAAGGAAGTAGTGATGAGTGGCATACAGCAGTGGTTTTCAACCTTTTTTCATTTGTGGACCCATAAAAAAAATTGAATGGAGGTGTAAGACCCCTTTGAATTGTAAATGTGGGTATTCACATGCTTTTGATTGATCATAGTAATTTTTGTGGACCACTTAGACATAGTCTGTGGACTCCCAGTGGTCTGCAGGCCGCAGGATGAAAACCACCTGTCTAGAGAAAGAATGGTTAGGCACTTTTCTCTCTTGCCCCTCTCTTTCTGTGCCTTCATATAATGCAATATAGTTCTTTCTTTTTTCTCCTCTGACTTGCACTCCTGGGTTCTTGCCTCTCTACCCATGTTTTAGATTATTTTTCCACTTTCATGTGGATGCATAGTCCTAATGCTGCCTTCCAGTCATAGCTTTCTTCCTCCTCTGATACCAAAGGTATTCCTTCTTTCAACTTTTCTCTTGTTCACCCTTAATTTTTTTTTTTTTAATTTAATTTATTTTTATTTAACTGTCTGGCTTGGGCTTGCATCTACCCCTGGCTTTGTTTTTTCTCTTGATTATCTCCGAGATAATGCTTCAAGGAGTATTCCTCACCTTCACATTTCTCTTTCGAAACCCCATTACCTTCCTGTGCATTGATCTGCATGACCTGTTTTCTTCTAGGGATTCCTCATTTTTTTTTTATCCTAAAAATATTGCACTTATTTATTGTAGAGTGACTTAAGGGGCTTATAGCTTATGGTTCCCACGTCTAAGTACTTTTTCATACTCTTTTTGTGTCTGTCCTCTTTACAATAGGTGAGCTCTGAGTCAGAGGTTATGAGTGTGGGCTATTGATATCAAGTGCTCTGGAAAAAAGGTATAATGCTGCGTCAGTATTTAATAACTGGCATGAGAGAGTGATTTTAGCCCCTGTCTGGAATGATTGCCGCCTCAGTGAAATTTATGAAGGACTATTATGCTTGCGTTGCAGCAATCACCAGTCTGACCCAACTTCTAGATCTTACTTGCCTTCTGACCCAGATGGGTCTGAACAGGTCTCTAGATGCAGCCTGGCTCTGACTTTTTGGCAGCCAAAGTTCTCTAGACTAGATGTTGGTGCTGCTCTTCCTGGTGGAAAGCATGGGAGCCCATAAACCCCTTGATAAGGACGTCTCAAGTTGAGGAGGAGGAGGCAGCCTGCTTTGGGATCCACCTGTGGTCAGCCAGTGGAGGGAGATCTCAGGTGTAGGTTGTCTTCTCTAAACATGAGAATGGGAGGAAAGAGAATTATTTCTCTATTGGCAGAGGAAGGAGCTGTGATTCCATGTGTTTTCCTTTTACCTTAACCCGGCCCACTAATATGGATGCAAATTTGTGTCAGCGCTGTCTTTCATTTGTGACTTATTCATAAAAGTTTCAGGCTATAGGCTGAAGTAACAACTGTATTGCTATCAAGTGATACCAGTATAAATGGTTGCAATGTAACTGCTACAACCTCAGGCTTCTGTAGTAACACAAATGTTGGCAAAGTAATTGTAACTTTAACCCTGTTTAAATCAGTTAGTTACAGCAGTTTAGCTAACCAGTATCACCAGATTGTGCAGATTTAACAGTTGCATAGTAGCAGCTGTTTCGCTCTTGGGTGTCAATTCTCACCCCCTTTTAGCCACTTTAATAGGGGAGGAAAGTTTGCCCTGAAAACACCATATAACACAGGTGATCAGTTCCCCTTTAGGCAAGAGTGTGCATGTGCAAGCATCTATGCACTGGAATTTGTTTGAATAAAATGGGCAGGAGATAATTTTGAATAACAACTGATGGCTGCTTGCGGATACTTTGCAAACAGGAAATGGAGATATATGTTCTTGTACTGCCAAGAGTTTGTCTGACATTAGGAGCTATCTATTTATGGCTTCTTTTCTGACAGCCTGTTCTAAATTTATTTATATTTTTGCTTGATATAAAACTTGGGTTTAAGTGAAATATATATATAGAGCCACTTCTGCTGTCTTACCTATGACAGAGAGAGAATAGTGCATGTAGTACTTATATGGATACATTTAAAATTAGTCTCCTGCCCACATAGTTTTTGGGTTTTTTCCTTTGAGGGAAAAGGTATGGGCTCACTCTGGTTATATCAGCATATACAAGGTTTTGGGTCCCATTCCCCTCACCCCCACAAACAGCCTGCCCTGCTGTAACTGCAGAATACAAAGACCTTCCAGTTAAGGACATACTTGGCTTGTGATCAGGAAAATGGCAGCACTGTAAGGGTTACAGATTTGT